GATGCGCACAGCTGAGGAGTCCCACAATAGGAAGCAATGACCGTCCAGTATTTCCAGGTTTTTCATGGTGGTCTAACTTCAATGGACTTATGATCTCAACTACTTAAATTATATATATATTAACAGAATTAAATGATAGTTATAAGATTAACTCATTATTTAAATATGAATAATATTAGTTTTTATTTAATCAAATCAATTGTTTATACAAATGAATAGTAATTTAGAGTTTAATTATGTTTATATAAGTATGTTATAATTGTTTTTAAAATTTGAAAGTATTCTAGTTAACTTACTATTTAAAATTAAATATAAATCTATCTGATAAATAGAAACAAAACATGAAAATATATGTGCTATTCTTGTTTTATTATTGAAGTAAAAATTAATCATCATTAGCATATTTCTAAACTTCCAGAATAAGCATAATTTATTTATTATTTAATATTTATGTTTGATTGGTGTAATACATTAATTGAAAGAGATTTTTAATAATGAAATGATACTTGTTGGAAAATTATTCTACATAGAATGTTTATTCTAGTTTAAGAACCTTCTATCCTTATTATTATTATTATTATACGAAAAAGAGAGTACATCACTGTTAAATTTGATTTCTTAAGCTTATCATAATTGGTTCAGATATCAACATGTCATTTATTACACCTATAAACAACGGAAAAAGAAAAAAATGGTTGGAATAGTACCAGAAGAGAAAAATAGTATTTTTATATGGTTAAGTATCAAAAAACGAGCCATTTCCCTAATGAAAGACAACCCCCATTAACAATGTGGCGCGAAACTAATTACATGAGCTTCGAGTACAAACAGGTCTCAAAAAAAGTATTTCCAAGTCATTTTGTAAATATTTTAAGTTCTAGTTCCTTTTAAATTCTAGTTTCTTTTAAGGAAGAAGTCTGGTACACTTGGTAAGACTATAATTTATGGATGATTCTAGAGCAACGCTAAAGTGACCTTAAGAATGTCCACCTATTAACTAGGACTAAACGACGGTTATAAAGTGGTAGGAGCAATTAGCATTATGACTTAAAGTTGATGGTCAGGGTTAGGAACTAGAATTAGAGTTTTCATTACGAACTGACATCGGATAAATTGCAAAAACACTATTTAGTCAAATGGATGAATGGATTTTGCGCCAAAATCCAAGACCTGTTAACTTATACATGATTGGTTTATCCATAGGTTATAGTCTCGCCATAAACTTGAACTATTGCTATACTATTACTGTGTAGCATGATTTTTTAGTATCATATCATCTTAAATAGAATAACTCATGATACAGTAGTTTCGTTGACCGGTTACTAATGAGTATATTGTATCATCATTTCTGTAAATGAAGTAGATTAACTGAACTACTTATCTTCCAGTTTGTCATTTAAAACTCTTACCCGGTAAGATTTAGGTAATTACACCCTATAGGAAACTACTCAATTTGTAACAAAACTATTAATTCATTCAAAATGTTATTTAGTTTTCTGTTGTTTAGTTGATACTTAATTATTATCGTAATGTAAAATGATAATATCATAGAAATTAATTATACAAAAATAACTTAGTTACCAGCCAATATAAATATAATACATTCCTTTAAATCAATTTTCCTGTGAACAATGTGATGGAAATATTCAAGATTGAAACGAACAAATAGAATAAAAAATTACTCATGTTTGTGTTCTTGTATAGGGAGGGGAGAATACTCTGTATGTAGGTTAACGATAATCCATTTCATTATACCTTTTGCTTAATCAATAATTATATTATATTCTGTGAATTTTATTAGGTCATATATTTAAATTAAAATTTTACACATTGGTGTATCACAAATAGATTATTAATTTATTATTGTAAATAATCCACCAAATACTCAGTTTATATGAAATTATCAGATTAAATGTTAGTAATGATACTTATTTACTAGGTTACTTAAGTTTCCACTATTAATGGTGATAAGAAAACTGTCCCTCTTATTTTTGACATTTTCAGATTATTCTAAAGTTTTTTACTGTAAACCTACATGAAGAAAATACATATGATCCAGGATGCGTTTAATATATTCGACATAGATTTTTACCTATTTTCGACTAACAATGTTATTAAATCGCTTCTTTTTCTCACTTTGTATTCATACAATACAAACTATCCAGTCATTAAAAGTCGACAGTATTGTGTTATTTACCATAAACTGCAAATTTATTACTATCTCGTGAGATAGACTGCAACATGTATGGGACTTTAATAGATTCAAATAGAATAACCCTAAATACTAATTATTTTAATAAACATGAACTGTGTTAGTTTAATTCCACCTTATTTTTTCCAGAAAACAAATTTTTTTATATTCATTATATAATATCTAAAAATGAGTCAAATGTCTTATTTCTGTTTTCCACATAATAGAGCATTGTTCTGGGTGTCATAAATAATTTGGTATTTTCCCTTAGCTTGATGAATTTACTGATCAGATGTTAAGAAGAACCATGTATGATGTTCCTTAAACGATTAATTGTACTGATATAAATTAAAAAATTTAACTTTTTATAAATTAAGCCATGATAACACATTATTTTGCAAATAATCCCTTCCATTTTTTATTCATGAATCTTGCAGGTTTATTTTCTTTACGAAATTCCTTTAATCTGGCTTAATGCTTTAGTAATTTAATGTTCTGTGCATTCAGACAATACGACCATAATAAACTATCTGATTTAATTATTTTTATGGGAAAATATGAGATAACATCTACCGATGTCATTACATACTCTCAGTACTTTATTGGTATACAGGAACAAATGTATATAAAAACAGGGATTCTGATATTACTCCTAACTGTAAACTTGTCATTTATTCATACCCAATTTCAATAAACAACGTCGAGAATCGAGAATCAGGTAGTTTAAATTTATGAGTTGTTGAGTTTTAGTTTCAGTGTAAACATCAGCACTGAGATCTAGGTGTGTCCAGCTGATGAGTTCTAAATGTGGTGAAACGCACATCCTGGATTCTACTACGAGCAGAATGTACCATTGTGTTAATTTAATTAAAATAATGTTAATTCGATTTATACAATCGATTGCTATTAAGGACTAGACAACAGGATTTTGGTTATTACTAAGTTACCAAATAATGTAGTTTGGTGAGAAAGAGAAGAAAGAAGTGATGAACTTCATTGTTGAAAAAACTATAAATTTGCTACTCCATATTGATAACAAACAATAAGCTCCCATCTTTGATTGACTGAACAATAAGATTTTACATTTATTTAAAATAATTTTCGGTTTTTCGATAAATAATATTTATCAAAGTAAGAACAGTCCTTTCGCGTTAAAATCCAGAATCATTTATGAAATGATATTTGTGCTAATGTATTTAATGAAAACTATCTACTGACTAATGCGAATGAAACACTAACTTGATTGTACTTGAGAACAAGCTGTGAATAACATTTTGTTCTGTTTGAGATAAGAGCTTTGAGCTATGATGTAAATAAACTAATGTTCAACACCTGTACAGTTCTATGTTGAATTATTTGATTTATCTTCCAATATGGCATCGAAAAATAATTACGGCAAGTTTGATTTTATTTTAGTCCTAGACTCGGTTGAATTCATCTGTTTTGACATTTCACAGAGACTATGCTCCATTGGGAGTAACAGGCGTAAGTAAGTAAGTAAGTAACATAAACCAATAATCGTTATATCATTTTGCGAACCAATTGAAGTTGTAAACCTGGTTCATTACATGCCTACTCACTGGCCTAATAGTATCATGCTCTTGTTGCAACTTAATGTTTGTAGGGTCCATTTTAAGCAGTTTCACCTCTGTGCACTGACAAGAAGCCCCTATCTTGAAAAAATAGCCGTTTGGTCTTCCCTGGCTACCACTGTTTTGCTAGCTGGTATCAGTTTATAACGGAAGTTGTCATTACTGGCACAATTTTTTCAGGAAGTATGATTAAGATCCATACGAAAACTGAAGGCTTGAGACAAAATTCACTGATTAATGCTGACTAGAATGTTGTTAGTATTCATGAAATATATTTCTCCATAGACAAAACTGTCATAATAGGACCTCTCACTTTAGTTAGATATGAAATTTTATCTAACTCTAGTGGATTTACACTATGAAAAAATAGGAGTATACCAAATGAGCAAATAATGATTAAATATTTTATTCTGTCTGTATACAAGTCTGTTGAATTTGTGAATTTACCGTTGTTTTTTTTTAAAAGGTCAAAACTACAGTATTCATTCTGATCTGTGTTACTAACATGACAAACTGTAATTGACTTATGAAGAATTTTAAATAGCTCACTATTATTCGAAGTTAAGACAGATGAAGTTATCTAGAAAGATAATGAGATATTGATAATTAAACAGTTGTTTTCAGAGAACGCAACATCAAGATAATTCTCTACTCGAACTGCAAATCATTTCTGTCATCGCGAAATCCTACGAGTATTATGTTTTTACTCATGATATATATATATAAGAGAAATTTATGAAAATTACAGTTGAAATGAACTGAAAACATGGAGAAATGACAAGCTAATGAACATTCATGTAAAATCTAATATCTATGCTTTCATAGATCCACGGTAACGCATTTCAGATTGAATTTTAACAAAATAAGGAGTCTTTAAATAAAGTAATTTTATAATGTTGATTACCATTTTTATTAATAATCTTAATTAATGTTAATAGTTGGACAAAAATCTATTCACTCGTAATCAGGAATAACGTATAGTTGTTTTTTTTTCAAATCAGTCAAACGTAAAAGCCAAATACAGAAATATTTATAAGGCAATGACCTACACATGTTGTAATGCAGAGGAATCGAACTTATAAACTAGTAGTTGAGAATCAAGTACCTACACCATTTCGTCACTGATTCATAAGATAGAATATTATTACGTCGACTTATATTTAAACATATCCAAACAACATTTGTTTATAAGAAAAGGTTGATATAATTAACATTACCTTTTGATAATAGTTTATCTAAGTATGTTTGTATACGTACAGATTTTCTTTGTGAATTATCCACATCATTCTTCGGTTCAGATTCTCTATATCTTAGACGTTTCTGTTTTCGATTATTCGGTGCTGTTTGAATAGTTAAATTATGACCTTGACAATTCCATCGGTGTGCAGAAAACTGATATTCACATTCTTTTAAACCCATAAAATAACCACGTATCACACTTTCCATTAAATGCAAATACTGACGGCATAATTTTTTTTGTCTTCGTAAAAATCCATTCGGATGATCACATATACTCATTTGTAATTTTCCATCGGGACCGACAAATGTTTCTGTTGTCATCATATTGTCATTATTATTGTTCATATCTTGAATTGTCTGTTTTAACTCAGTTTGATTTAATCGTTCATGATTATAATTATCTGTGTTTAAATCTGGATTCATATAATTTTTGTTTGTTTGTGGATAATTTAGACTTTGTGATGTTGGTGCTTCTACAAAACGTAAGTCAGAATTTGTCTGACGATGATATACTTCAGTGTTGTGATTATTTTTATCTAATCTATTTACTAATGTTGAATCACCATCAATAGCATCATGTTTCTGTTTAACATTATTATTCTCTGAAGGTTGTAATAAACTGTTTGATTGAAGATTATCATCTGGTATATCTGTGATAAGTAATTCCCTCAGTTGTGAACTAAGAGTAAACAAACATAGAAATAGTAGAATATTTAACCAAACAGACATTCTTACATGTATCATTCACAAGTAATAAATATAATCATTAAATAAAACATATCCACAGTTATAGTTATGGTTTGTGTTTTGACTAAAAACTAGTTTAATTTTAACAATATGCAATAATAAGGCTGATATTCATTGTACAAATTTATCATTTCACTGGATTGATCTTTTTTTAAATGTTCAAGTTATTTCTTTTTATCTGTTATAATCCAAGAATATTGATTTTTCCTTTTTGAATGTAAATAAACCGCTCAAAGTTACCGCAATCTTTTTCCAAATATGTACAATGTTAGATAAAATAGGAGTGAGAGAAAACGAGAAAGAAAAAATCAACTAATAGTCTGACTTGAGTTTAAATGCTGACAGAATTTCCTATCGTTTATACTAAGTTTTAATAAAAGCTCATAAATCATAATTCACTGACAAAGGGTATATAAATGAATGAAACAAAAATTTTAATGTTATAAACAATGATAAATGTTAGCCTGTTCGTGTATCTTCTTGTTCAACAAAATACATATATACATGTCTATGATATGTTGTTTACATGTATGATTCAATCTAACTAAAGGGTGGTTGTAGATTGTGACCTCCTAGTAAGTGTGTTTAACGCTATTCAGTAACTAACTATAATTGGATTGGTCAATATTCACTCTCTTTCTAATTCTATGTCAATATATATATATGCAAATGTGTGTGTGTATTTGTGTGAAATCAGCATAATTCATGTTCAGATAATATTAGTATTTTTGTGCTTCAATCTATTGTCAAATTTCCTACTAAATGTTTCTTTCTTTTTTTCTCTTTTTTTTGTAAGCTCTCATATAATATATATATATATATATATATATATATATATATATATATATATATATATATATATATTTGGCCTTCAATAATTAAATAAATAAAGGCGCATAAATATCAAATCTACATCATATCAGTTAAATCAATCCAGACTTTAATGTTAGAGATTAAATTTCAAGTAAATTTGAATTATTGCTTAGTCGACCTTTTTTATTACTGGTTTATACAGTGATGAACTCTTTAGTGTAGGGATATAAATTATCTATAATAAAAAAAAATTTTTTTTTAATGAGAATATTGAAAATAATAAATTTTTCTAGTTTCTTTTTGTATGTAAATAAGAAATAACTAAATTAATGAATGACTGATTACTTTTACTTTATTAATACATCAATATTTGCTTGTTTTTCGTTCGTTTTAGTTGTGTTTTTTTGTTTGTTTATGAAACAGATGTATGTGAACAAAGAATACTTTACTTTACTACTTACGCCTGTTACTCCTCGTGGAGGAGCATAGGTTACCCATCAGCACTCTTCATTCAAACCTGTCTTGGGCAATCCTTTTCAGCTCTTTTCAGTTGTCATTCATCTTTTTCATATCTGCTTCTATTTCACGACGTCATGTGTTGTTTGGCCTCCCTTTTTTCCGCTTCCCTTCAAGATTCCAAGTTAGGACTTGCCTCGTGATGCAGTTTGATGATTTGAGTAATGTATGTCCTATCTATTTCCATCGTCTTTTCCTCACTTCCTCTTCAGCTGGAAGCTGGTTTGTTCTCTCCTACAGAAGGCTGTTACGGATGGTATCCGGCCAATGGATGTTGAATATTTATAAATATTTGTATCCTTTTGATGATGGTTTTAATGGTTCTCCAAGTTTCAGCTTAGTACAGTAGAGCTGTCTTGACGTTCGTATTGAAGATTCTCACTTTGATATTGGTTGACAGACAGTTGTTTTTAGTTCCATATGCCATTCAATTGTAGGAATGTGACCCTTGCTTTACCAATCTCAGCATTTTCGTCTACATCTGATCCTCCTTGTTCATCGATGATGCTGTCCAGGCACATGAAGGATTATACATCTTACGGAGTTTCGCCATCAAGTGTTATTGGGTTGGTGGAACAAAGAATATATATATATATATATATATATATATATATATATATATATTTCTCTCTATGAATTTCTTAGCAAGTTGTAAAGTTATAAATTCAGATTATTAATATATGGAATAGTCAACTTTAAGATAAATTCATCCTTTAAAATGAGAGTATTTGAAAAAAAGGATTGTTAATGAAACCAAATTATTAATGTCAAAATTTAATAGGGTTCTGTGGTTTTTGTACTATATGTAATGGTGATTTTCATTCTGATGACTTTTACATTAAATATTGCACAGAAGGTCTTTTACAATTAAGATCTTTTCAATTAAAATCTTTGACAGAACATGATAGATAGTTTCAATTGAAGTTATTCACAAAAACAATTAAACCAACTGGAATTATCACTGGATTCGATGACATAGATCCTAAATTTTTTCGTAGTACATCATTTTAGTGCTCACCAAATGAAACTAGGTATTCTTCGAATATCAAGAATAAATTAGAATGTTTGGTATTTTCATCACAAATTCAATATTCCACAACTTATGTACTGGTGATATTGGACTTAATAAAATTTCGCATTTACACATTCGTATGTCGGATACATATGAAATCGAAGTTTACAAAAATCACGTTATAAACAGTAGTCTGACTCATAGAAATCTCTTGATTTGTTTTCTACGGATGACGTTTTTTATGATTAAGAGAAAATGTTCTACTAGGATTGATACTGTCTATTAATTGACTTACATCGATGTAATGTGGCTAGATGTTATTTTCTTCCTTAGAATTACTACCGATCTCATATCCATTGGCAGAAAATTGATTTTCGATTTATAGTTAAGCAAACTTTATTTTTATATATAATATATAACACAGAATCATTTTGTCATCAGCATTCTATCTTCTAATCCAAATCCCATCTAATAAGTTTACAATTAGGTCACCAAGGAAAGAGATTAGACCTTTAAGTTTACAATGTTGGCTTGTCGGCAAAATTCGAAAAATAGTTTTAAATCTAAGTCTTTTTTTAGTTTCACTTTCATCAGTATGACACAAATAATAATGAGAAATATGGTGACCTATCATAAATTCAAGTACGCGTCGAAACTATTCACGACAAACGGTATTATTTTAACATCATTATGGAATAACTTAACAGGTTAATGACTAGAAATATTCTTAAACAAACTATAATCATCGCAATCAAAGTGTTATGTAAATTTTGCATTCTTTTTCATGGCGACATTTCATATTGGTGAATAAAAATTAGCTGTTTACTTGATTTGGAATATAATTCACCTACTTAATTTTGCATTACAATCTTTATATTTCCAATACGGTATAAAATAAGTTGTTATATAAAACAATTCTTATACATACATATATGATTGCTGTCGTTTTTTGATTTCAGTAATGTATTCAGTCACTGAAGTGGTAAAGAAAACGAAAACCATACTCATTAAAAATTTTTTTGTTAATAGACTCTGTATTCTTAAACGAGCTTCAAGATATTTATTAGACAGCTTTAAACCTATGAATTAACATTTTTCAAGTCAACTGGATTGAACTGATTTATAGATTGCTGGTAGGTGTCAATACCAAGGTTGGTTTTGTTAGCTTCAAATAAATTAAGTATTGGGAGGAAAGTTAATGATAAGTATACTTTTTGTTATATCTCAATGGGTAGAAAATTATATTTCCAATGTTTCTGACCAGTTATTTATTCATTCTGAAGAAGTGGCTTACACTAAGTCACCAAACGTCAGAAATACAATTTTCTACTCATTGGGATATAATAAAAAATATATTTATTATAGTATGTTTGTATTATTGAAATTTTTGTAATTAATGCTTTTGAAAAGTGCAGACGCATTGTTTTGTATAGGTTACCCACCAAATATGATCTTTTTTTTCTAATTATTCCTGCTAGTTAAATGAATTATGCAATATGCAAGATAAGCTAAATCAATATTACAACAGTCTGTATTTGTTTTAAAATAATTAAAGAAAAACTAATGGTTTTATTCACTTTGATTATTGTGGTTGTCTTCAAGAATATTAGTAATTTTTGCTTCATGAATCATCTTTACATAGTTCAGAGACACAGTCTGAAGGGTTATTATCTCTGTGCTTCTATTGAAACTGCCAAATGAACTACAAGTAAGCTAGTACACTACAATTATTGCTTTATACGATACATAGAAACCATGTAAAACTAGTAATCAATAGTCAACAAATTTATGTACTTATTCCACAGTGAATTTGAAAGTTTAAGAACGAATCAATATTCATTAGGAAAAACCCAAGAATTATCGACTAGTTTTTTTCACTCACTGAAATTCCATTCGCTATACTGAAGTAGTAGTATCTTAGAATAAAGAGCGAATTCGAAGAATAAAAGTTATGAAATTATTTGAGAAATAGGGTACAAGGCAAAATAAAGAACAAATTCAATTGAGCCGTTTTAATGGATTCTGAGTCATGTCGCTTAATGTCTCCAATCGTCAATTGCCATAATCTCACTGACCCTGACAACGAAACATGTAACTACAAATACGACTCAGACCATTACTCATTGTCATGTTTAATAGCTACTATGTAAACATGATCTAAATGAACAGATGCTGTTTGGAATAGTATATTATTTGTTACGTACTGATGAACAGTTCATTTGTTAATTTAGTGTGCTTTTTTGTTCTACCAGACTTATTTAATTTAAATGCAGCTCAGGTTTCTTATCACCTAACTTCATGTTTTAAATTCTGCTGATAATACAGTTTAATCTATTGTGATCATCTGCCTTACATGTTTTATTATGTTTTTAATCAATGGTAGTGTAAAAAGACACAGTGAATATGTGTTGTTTATCACTTATATAAATTAAACTTTATCTTGACAAGCTTCTACATTTAGTAGTTCATAATTTTGTATCTTCAAATAAATCAGTCAAGTAAAATAACTGATAATGTTTATTTGTGCTTATAAGTATGTGTAAAGTTGCATTATTTCTTATTCTCATTCTTACTGAAATTTTTATCAAAAA